GTCATCATCATGGTATGGGTGGTCCGGCGCGGTCGGAGAATGACAAGAACCCCATCCTCTGGACATGGGAAACCACTCTCAACAACTGGCGTGGAGCGTTACGGGCGCCTCTTGGAGCCCCTGGAGTGAGACGGCAGGAACCACGGAGTGCCCTGACGGGGAGAGCGCGCAGCACTTAAAACATATATACATATGAACATACATACATACATACATACATGCATGCATACATACATACATACATACATACATACATGCATACATACATACATACATACATACATACATACATACATACACATACATACACATACATACACACACATACACATACATACACACATACACACATACACACATACATACATACCTACCTACCTACCTACCTACCTACCTACCTACCTACCTACCTACATACATACATACATACATACATACATACATGCGTACATACATACATATATGTAGCACCACTCTGGAGCTGCGTTTGTCCCTTGGAGAGGCCTCCATGCGACAGTCGAACCTAGGCCAGAAGAACACCCTTCAAGAACATGAGACCCTCCACCGGCCCAAATACCCAGAACATCCACGGGTACAATCCCCAGGATGCACAAGAACATCCAACAAGCACGAAGAACATCAGGGTACCCTCCCCAAACCAACCTCGATCTCATACCTCGGTCCGACTGTACGAATCCCACCAGCCCTCGGGGCGTAAGTGGTCTAACGATATTCGTCTTCCCGCTCCCACGACCCCTCTTCCCTTCGGGGAGGGGTACCCTCCCCCCCTCTCTCTGATGTTGTTTTCGGCCCCACCGCGATGTGTCCGAGGGTCCTTCTTGGCCCGAGACGGTAATTTAAGAGACCTCAAGATAGCCGAAGATGGTTCGAGATGCCTTCAGACATGCCTCCGAGAGGCCCCGAGAGGACCACAAAACGGCTCAAAGTGCTCTCGGGGCCCTCTCAGGATCTGATCAAGAGGCCAAAATCCTTTTCGAACCTAAGGGAAATCATTGATTGTTGCCTTCTCGCCCGTTCGCTTCCGATGCGGCTTTGAGGCCTCGAGGTGGCCCAAGATGGCCCAGGAAAGCCTCAAGAGGGACCCACGAGGCCCCCACGACGGCTCCAAGACCGCCCAAGAGCGCTCAAAGGGCGCCCACAGAAGGCGCGAGTTTGATGGCCCCAGGGGGAATTCGAGGCCCCCCCTCTTTTAATTCAACGCGATGCCCCCCAGGATGGCCCCAAGAGGCCCTCTAAGCCTCCCAAGAGGCCCCCCAGAGAGGTGCAAAAGAGCCCCAATATCCCAATATCCTCTCCAAAAAGCTTCAAACGAACCCCAAGACCGCCCAAAATAGCCCAAGAGGGCCCCGAGAGTGCCGCGGGAGCCCCAAGATGGCCCCAAGGGGGCTTCCAGAAGACCTCAAGATGGCTGCCAGAGTCTTCGTCGTCCTCCCTCCCTTTTCGTCCATGTTCCACCCCTCCTCGTCCTCCTCCTCGTCCTCCTCCTCGTCCTACTGCTCGTCCTAGTCCTTCTCATCGTCCTCCTGATCGTCCTGGGTCTGATCAGGCTGACCCAAAACTTGTTCCAATGCGTGCTTCTACACTGTCCTGATCAAGGCAACTCGCCTGGGCATCGTTTTTGCAAGGGCTGGTGGGGATGCACGAAGCGTGAAGAATTCACTCCAAGAATGGCCGCCATGCGCTGCTCATGAGAGAGGGCTACCCCTGCAGCAGAAGGAAATACGAGCCAACGTACAGTCGGACCTAGGCCAGAAAAAAAAACAGCCCTAAAACACATGAGCCCATCCGTCGGCCAAAACAAATAGAGTATCCACGGGTACCCTCCCCAGGATGCACATGACCATCTAACAAACACGAAAAACATTAGGAGACCCTCCCGAACCAACTCCGATCTTATACCTCGGTCCGTCTGCACAGTCGGACCCTGAAGGACCAGCACGCTCCTCGGAAGCTTCGAGAGAGAGGGGAGGATGGAGAGCAACCGGGGGGGAGGAGGGGAAGGAGGGGGAACGGAGTAAATCCGCTGGGCCAACAGACCAGAGGCGTGCTACCATCTCCAGCAAGAGCTCCAGAGTATTTCTACTACTTTGCGCGCGCGGGGCAACTCCTGGGGGGTCCCCAGACAAACAAGATCCTGGGAGACCCAGACCCAGAGATATGTGCTCCTTCTGGGCGTGGCCTTCGGGACTCCCACGGGCGCTCCAAGGCAGCAGGGCGCTCCAGGAACCGGCCCTAGAGGATGCCAAGATGGTCCAATTGTGCTCGAAGATGGCCGATGACGGCCTCTGGAAGGCTTTTGAAACTTTAGGAAAAAAAACGGCCCAAGACCGCTTCAAGACAGCCCAATATCGCCTCAAACAACCAAAAGAGGCCCCACAAAGTGCTCCCGGAGGAAACCTGGGAAGGCCGCAAGAAGGACACAAGATGTTGCTAGCCTTTTCAACGATTCTCAATCTCTATCCTTTTCGGGCGTCCGTCGACGCAGCGGCCCAAAAGGCCTTCACGACGGCCCCAGAGGGCCCCAACTAAACTGACACATGATGTCTCAAAGAGACCCCCGAGTTCGCCCCAAGTCAGCCTAAGATGCTCCCTTGACGCCCCAAGACAGGCCAATAGACCTCCCAAGTGGACTCCAGAGGCCCCCAAGAGGGCCCCACGTGAGGGCATCCGAACTGACTTGCCGAGCCTTCCCCGAAACATGGCCAGCCAGACCGCCAGCAGGCTCCCGAGAGGCCACCCAAAAGACTGCCCCAAGAAGTATCATGAGATCTCAACAGAGCTGCCAAGAGGGCCCGAGACGCCTCTTGAAGAGGCTCTTGTCCACGACCCCGTCTGGCCCCAAGAGTGCAATCGAGATGCCCCCTCCTCCTGCTCCTCCTCCTCCTCCTCGCTCGCCACGGGCACATCGACGGATCGCAACGGCGATGCAACGTTGGCGAACGAATCGAAGCTGCATCGACGAAGCTGCAGCACACCCTCGCGTCCCGAGCCCCTGCTAGGGGGCCACATGCGAACCCTACCCCTACCCCCCCCGATTTCTGAGGGGCAGGGTGGGGTTCACTTCGTTCGGGAGCTCCCGAGCGAAGTGAAACCCACCCTCCCCCTCAGAAATCGTGAAGGGGAGGGGTAGGGGGGTAGGGTCCACATCTGGCCCCCTACCTGCCGGAATGCCCGTCCGCTGCGGGAAACGCCCCGCCCCCCCTGAGCATTGACGAATGCCCCGTGGGCCCGCCAATCGGGCGAGGGCCCGCCTGCAGTGCACGATCCGCCCTCCACGCGTCCACTAGCTGCATCACGTACAACTCGGGGATGGACAGACCTCCCCTTAGTAAAACGTGGTTTAGTGAAAGCGACCTCGGGCCCAAACCTGGCGGGCGCAAGCCTGGAAAATAAAGGCCGCGGCGCCCTCTCGAGAACCGAGAACGGACAATTCACTGATCGACGTGTCACTGTTAGGAGGTCTGTCCAGCCCCGAACAAAAAGGGAGAGGGCCATGAAGCTCGAAAGAGCGCATTCCTAGCTCGCTTGCACCGGAAACTCCCCAACGGTCGCGAAACCTGGGCCGACGCTCTTCCCGGGTAAAGCACCAGAGGCCCCCATCCCAAACAGGGGGAACCCCTCTCACAAACAAACCCTCCTCACCCCGTCCCCCCCGGCGCAAGCAGGGAAGGGGGGTCAGAACCCCAATTCCCGATTTGTCGCGGGGAAACGGCGACGTCATCGTCGCCGTCGTCTGCCAGCGGCGAGCAAGTGGGGATCTGCCCCCCCCCTTACGCCAGGGGGAGGGCCTCCTTTCCCTCCTCCCAGGGAAGGGGAGAGGGGTACCCCCCCCCCCTTCCCTGCACAAACGCACGTGAAAGGTGATTTCTCTACGAACTGCCAAAGGAATGTCGAACGAAAACTGCATTTTGAAAACGATGTGCCTCCGTCCGACGAAGCGCAACTCAACTTCGAAACTCGGAACAGCGACGAAACACCATGCGATAGCCGGATGTGACTGACGCCGCTCCCCGTGTAACTGATATCGTAGACGGGCGCCCCCATCAAGAGTAGGAACCACCCTGCATCCGTATACCTGTGAGGCTTGTTCAAGACGAGTGTGCGCGGCGGCGAGGCGAGAGCGGCGAGAGCCCCATTTTGAAAGGAGCCGCCCTCCATCCATGCAATTGTGAAGTTCGTTTAAAACGGAACGCGCGCGGTGCCAAGGCGAGAGCCCTGCTCCGAAAATGGGCCGCCCCGCATCCGTGCAACTGTGAAATGTGCTTTGCGCGGCGTGAAAAAGCACGAAAAGAAGCAGCGACAAGCAATACAAGTACCCCTAACCCTTTGGGAGGGGACCTAAGTTCGGATGGCCTGGAGCATTGGGGATAGGGGGTCTTTTCTGCAGATGTATCGAACCAAACCGCCCAAATTGATTATCCCTAATGCGAGGACGGAGACCTAAGTGAGGCCACGTCTTCATCCTGATATAGGGTTAGAGGTTCTGTTGTTCTCGATGAGTCAAGGCGAGACCCCCACTTTGCAAACCACCTGTCAAGCCTCGACCAGATCGCATCACGACATCGGGTCGGAACAGAAACGCATCGTACCTCCGCCCCCGGCTCCAGCAGGCACTCGCCGGTGCCAGCGACTCGAGCCCGACTGAATCGAGTCGAGACCGCGGGCCCAGTCCGCGAACCGAATCGTATCGAATCGGAGGCGGCTCTGCCCGCAAGATTCGGTGGCAACGCATGGGAGCCTCCCACACGAGTTTCTCGGCTCTTGCGAATCGACGCTGGTCGACCCTCAATCGACGCTGATCGACGCTAAGTCGACGCTAATCGACGCAAATCGACGCTAAATCGGCGCTATCTCATCGACTCTCAGACGCTGACCGACGCGAAAGATTGCTCCCCAGAGATCGGGATCCCTTGCCGAGTCCCCAAAGGCCGGACATTGCCCAAAACCATCCGTTGCGCTTGTTTCACGACGCGAGGACGTCAGGGCTGCACTCCGTCCGCGCACCCCCGCGCGTCCTCGCGGACGCTGCCGCTGTGCTCCGAGCTGCCCTCGACCCTGTCCTCATGGCGGGGTGGCTCGGTCAAAGGGGGCTGAGGCGGGGCTGGCCAGGAGGAGATGAGGGGGGAAATCTTCCTCCTCGTCCTCTTCCTCCTGCTCTTCTTCTTACTCTTCCTCGTCCTACTCCTCTCATTGCGGCAGGAATCTGTGATGCCACGCTGCGGGGTGGCTCAACTCCCAAAAGGCCCCCGCGCGCGCGCTCCCGCAGGTTAGGTCCGGTGCTTTTCATATTAGGTCTGGTGGCAACCGATACAAAAGACAGCCCGATTCCCGACTTCAATCGCCACTCGGATCTCGATGAAGATGTTCGTCCACATGATTGTGATCATGGCGCGCCAAGATAGCGATCGTTTCGCGCACCTTTGACATAGACTACTTTTCCTGTGACGGACAATCGTGGCGCTGAGCCACGTGAGACCGTCTGACGTGGCTCAGCGTCGTGGTTGTCAGGAAAGATCATATCAGGAAGCATAATGTTTGGTGGGTGCTCCGCGACACCACCAAGACAACGACAACTTAGACACAGGCCGCGCACGAGCATGGACAGTCGCGGCGCTGCGCCACGTCTGAGTGAAGTGCTGTGCACAGCCCAGTGCATGGACACCACGGGAAACCGCACACAAGTCACAACACAAGCCTTCCTCATTGGCGGCAAACACCCGTTGCCCACCTTACCAGGCGGCGCGAAAGGCCATGCGCTGCCAAGCGTTCCCGCCTGGCGCGTGTGGACACAAACAAAGCTCGCTGGGTGGTGTGATCTGCAGGCGCAAGGGTTCGCAGAGAAAGTCCTTGCGTTCTTCACCAGTCCAACCTCGGACGCATCTTGGGTGCGCAGCGAACCCTGGTCCAAGAAAGATAACAACAGAAACCTTGGGCTTGAACTGTGCGCAACCGCGAATGACGACGCAAGCCTCTATTGGACACTTGTTGCTCGCACGGGCGGGATGACCACTTTAGCTGCACGTCTGCCACGGCGCACGCTGCAACTTCGCACAAAAAAATCTGCATCGCTGGTGCCAGTCTCAGACTACAGCAAGCTACAATATGCACTGAAGGTGTGGCAGGCAGAGCTGTCCGAGCTCCGCTCTGTGCGCGCAAGCGAATAAGTTCGATGTCTGGCGAGTTCCGTGTGGACTGTGGGGAAGACCTCCCTGGACCATCAGGGCGCCATCTTCAAGACGGCAGAGGGAAAAAAGCAGGGCACTGGGCTGCAGAACCATACTCTTCGCAAGAAGCGAAGGTACTGGCGAGCGAACGCAGTGCGCGCACGCAGAGACGACAAAGGAAAGGACAAGGACAAGGACAATGACAAGAGGAGGCCAACAGGCGGCAAAGGCAAGGACCAACAAGCCTGGATCCCATGTTCGTTCTACCTCAGGGGAATCTGCCGCTGGGGCACCGACTGCATGTCCTCCCACATTGAGAGCAGCACGAAAACGCCACCAGCACGAGACGTGCGCCGCACCGGCGATCAGCCGGGACACTGGGGCAACGACTGCCCTACAAGAACTTCGGGTGGGGCCCGGATCAGGGAAAGGAAAACGTGGGGTGGGGCCAAAGTCAAAAGGAAAACAAGGCGGCGCCAACGAAAGCTGGGCAAACACAGGAAACATATGGGGCACCGCTATGCCCACATTCGCGCCTCTGGATCTCGAGACGAAGCAGAAAAGGGAGGCGCAGCCGAATCGGAACCGACGCTTTGGCCGGAGAGGCAGCCGGATCGGAACCGGCGCCGACACCACAGCAACCCGCGGCAATCATGGCCGTTTTGGCCCACAGGGTACAGCACTTGAAGAACGAACAAAGAACCAACTACAAACAGTCAAGGACATCTTGGAGCCCGTCTCCGGACAAATGCTTCGATTCTCGACGCTTACCCCCGCCCGAGGAATCAACAGCACCTATTCGGATTCCTGTGTGGTGGTAGCGGCGGATTGGTGTCGAAAAATATACGCTTGCAAGCAAAGACTTGAGGCACGCCAAATAACCGCAACTCCGAGGCGCTTCTCATGCTGAAGACGGCGAACGGGAGGCGGCCGCCACGGACCAATGCGACGTCGCATGCAGAGGCGTTTGTGCCCAGAGCGTCCCGACTTGCAAACAGCTACGTCATGACTTCTAGCAAGCGCCCTGTCGACGGACGACAATTGGCAATGCAGCCAGGTTCGCGCAAGCGCTGTGCTGACGGATGCGGAAGCTGTTCTCGTTTTGCGCGGGTCTGGCAATTTGTTCGCTCTCGTCGGTACAGGCACGTGGCCGACCACCCCCTCGCCACTCTCACCATCCTCATCACCATCACCACGGGGAGGGGTAGAGGGGAGCGAGGACACCAGAGTGGTTCGCAATTCGGGTTCTGCAGCGTCGGCGTTTCGTCATCACTGTTGGAGGAGGAAACGAAAGAGGACAGTCGTGCCGCTGGGCCACGTCTGCGGACGCTGGGAAGGGGTAGGGGGGTTCGAACTGCCCCCCCTCTGATATGAAGAGGGGGGTCGCACCGGGGAGAGTGCCTCACCCCCCTCCCGGGAGTATCCCATCAGCCCTCTGGGCTGAGTGGTTTGACGAGTTGGTCTCAGTTACCTGCCACAACCCCTCCTTCGCCTGCTCGGACGAAGAGTTTACCCCTTCCCCTGCCCACTCCCCTGGGCCTGGGAGGGGGGGGGCGGAGCCGTCAGAGCGCCCAAGAGAGCCCCTGATGGCTCCAAGAGGGCCCAAGACAGTCCAAGAGGGCCTCCTCCAAGATGGCTCAAGGTACCTCCACATAGCTCAAGATAGCCTCCGACAAGCCTCCAAGACGCCTCAAGACAGCCCCAAGAGGGTTCCGAGTGCCACTGCCGCCTCCCAGGGTACCTCCCAACAGGCCAGAATCCGTCAAAAACAAAGCAAATCAATGTGTTTGGGCTTCTCGCTTTTTCGCTTCCGCTGAGCTTCTTGGGCCTCATGACGGCTCCAAAATAACCCTAGAGAGGCCCCGGGTGGCCCAAGACGGACCCAAGATGGCCCCAAGAGCGCCCAAGAGACACCTAAGAGCGGCCCAAGAGGCCCCCAAGAGACCATCTGGAAGCTTCCGAGGGGGGACGTAAATGGATGTCCCCCCCTTCTATGGTCGATCTAGAGCTCAAGGGGGGGCCCAAAACGGTCCCAAGAGGTCCCCCAGAACCCCACCCAGAAAGCCCCGAGAGGGCCCCTGAATCCCCCCAAAGAGCACCAAAAAGGCCAAAAGTGCCCCAAGTGGCTCCGCAAGGGCCCCAAGAGAGACCCAAGACAACTCCGAGCGAGCTCCGAGAAACCAAGCCTGGCGACCTGTTTCTGGATGGGCTGGTGGGATTTTTTTTTGTCGCGGCCGCAAGCGACAGCGCAGGAGGCGTCCGAAAAGGTCGAGCGGGCTACGCGCGAGCCTAATTATACAGCGACCGAGCGCGGGATCAGAACCTACCGCCGGGTGGGCAGCTGGCTGAAGCTGAGCTGGCTGAGCTGGCTGCAAGCGGCCAGGGTTGCATGCTGCACACGTGCGAGACCCAGACGGAACATCAGGGTGAATTGAACCTGCACGCCAGGAGACGTCGTGGTCTGGGCTATAGGATACCGATCAAGCGTCAGACCAGCGAGGCTGCACCGCCTGACGGTCAAAAACCCAGGCCCGTCAACACGCAGACATGATAATAGAGTCGGATGGGTGCAAGCGCTCTCGGACCCGGTGTGGGTACCATGGGAGCAGATCACTGGTGGGAATGCGCGAAGCGTCAAGAACTGGTCACCCCAGAACTATTGAGGCACTCAGAGTATGTGCTGTCGCGTGCATCGGAGCACTCTCCGCACGTCGCGACGACGGCGCGGCTGGAGCGTGTCGAACATTTGGTGCAATTGGGGCCTGTGTGCATCTCAGGCGCGCCAGGCACGGTGGGGCACCTGGCGCACCTGGTGCACACTGCGCACCCGGTGCGCGTGGCGCCCATGGCACGCGAGGCGCACCCTGCGAGTGTCGCGGCGTCTGTTTTGGCTCCCAATGGCTGTCCATCCGATGGCGACCTCTGACCAAGTATGCTGAGTATCGGGCGCTACTTACCTTTGGGGATGGCGGGCGGAACTGAGCGAGACAGCTTGCGGCGTTCCCGTTGGGAACTTGACACCTCCCCCTCCTCCATACCCTGGGGTCGGAACCAGGGTTTCGGGGGCAGGGGTAGCTCAAAATGGCATTCAGCATGCTTCCAAGCCCGTCACAAGCCGGCTCCAAGTGGACACGGAACCTCCCAAATGATACCCCCATAAGTCCGAAAGCAATCAAAGATCGTAGGCGCTTCGATGATGCTTGTTTACTCGCATGGTCGCTCCCGATGGGCTTCTGAGGCCTCAGGACGGCACCAATTTCGCAAGGGTCTCGAGCTGCATTGGGTTCGACCTGGAGCCGCCTTGGGCGCCATCTTGAAGGGGGGGGGCGTCTTCGGCCTTTTGAGGGCGCTTGTGGGCATCTTGACTTATCACTCCTCATGTCCTTGGTGCCCTTGCCTGGCACGCGCCACCGCTGCAGTATGTCCACGTGCGAGCTGACAATGTCGCGGATGACGGCCACGCGGGTCTCTGGCGTGCAGTAGCAGACCACCAGGCATCTCGCCTCGGTTCCAGTAGGGAGGACGGCAGGGAGGAGAAAGGGGAGAGGAGGAGAGGATGAGGAGGAGGAAGAAAGAAAAAGGGAGGAATAAGGAGAGAAGATGGAGCACAGAGGAGGGCGGGCAAGATGGACGGGGAAGGAGATAGGAGGGGGAGGGAGGGGGGGGAGGGGAGAGGTGGGAAGAGGAAGGGGGAGGGCTGAGGAGGAAGGGGGGGAGGAAGAGGGCCAAGAAACGACGAGGACTAAAGCGGCGGCGACCAAGATGAGAACGACCACTCAAAAGCTTCCGCTCGCAGTCGACTGATGGGAGACAGGAGCAAGAGAGGTCGCGCGCGCAGGCGCGGTCCCCTCCTTTGCAGCCTATCGCCACGCGGGCCAATTGTGCTGCGCGGCAGCGGGGTCCCTCGCACTCGTCTTCCCTGCAAGGGCACTGGCAGGAGGAGACGAGGAGGCGCCGAGAGGGGAAGGCCCAAGACGGACACGGGACCGACCCCAAAAACCCAGGCGGGGGCTTCGGCTACAAGTAAAGCGCGCCGACTCCGATGGGTAATACGCATGCCGTGGCTGGATCCGCCTCGAAACACGAGATGGACTCGCAGAGGGATCAGTGGACAAAAGCCACCGGCCCCCTTCTGGGGCCACCAGGCTGTAGGACGAAGGTTTGCAGTTTCCTGTACCAGTTGCAGCTTCCAATTTCCACTGCTACAGCTCTGCTTCTTGCTGCTTACTGTTCCTTGTTACAGTTCTGCGTCTTGCTGCTTACTGTTCCTTGTTGATGGACCGCGAGAGGGGGGGAGGCCCAAAACGGACATTTCTACCACGCCCTGAGCGTGTGCTCTACATGGCTGGGGTGGATACAAATTGACACCCCTCACGCAGATCGGCGGGGTTAGGGTTAGGGTCCAAAAACACAAGGGATTTGCCACATTTCTGAAAATCGGAAAATCGGCAGCACCCCTCACGCAGAATATCGGCGGGGTCAGGGTCCAAAAACACAGAGGATTTGCCACATTTCTGAAAATCGGCGGCACCCCTCACGCAGAATATCGGCGGGGTCAGGGTCCAAAAACACAGAGGATTTGCAACATTTCTGAAATTCGGTGGCACCCCTCACGCAGAATATCAGCAGGGCCAGGGTCCAAAAAAACAAGGAATTTGCCACATTTCTGAAATTCGGCGGCACCCCTCACGCAGATCGGCAGGGTCAGGGTCCAAAAACACAAGGGATTTGCCACATTTCTGAAATTCCGCTGCACCCGTGACGCAGATCCGCAGGGTCAGGGTCGAAAAACAAACAGGTCCCGACACTGCTTCACGGCGGCGCCCAGACCTCATGATTTAGCTTTTGCATCTCCCATTATCCGAGACAACGGGGCCGGCGGCATGGGGCGAAGCCCTTACGGATTTCAGCGGATGTGGGCTCGGCGGGAGAGGCACCGTTGTCTCAACTGGCCCTCCTCCGACTTTCTGTGACCCCGCCCAGCCGCAGCATCGGCGGCGGCCAAGAGGGGAGCGTCCAAGAGGGGGGGGGGGGGGGCGCAAATCACGGCCGGCGGCATGCGCGCGGCCCCGGGGGGGGGGGCTGGGACGCATTGAAATAAGAAGAGGCGCCAGGAGACCTCGGGAAATATCCTGGCCCCCGTCGTGATATCCACCTCCCTCTTGGCCATCCATTCTCCCCTCTGCCGCCCCCGACAAGTCGCAGCACCCTCCCTCGAAACGATGCTCCTGCCGGAACTGCGGGCCCCTGGGGGCACTCGTCTCTTTCTCAAGAGGGGCGCCTCGGAATGCCCGTCGGGACTGGGGGGCTCGGGCAGCGAGAAAGCGTGCTCTGAGAAGGCGCCGGCCTGATATCTACAGGCAAGGCCCGCGCCTTCTAAGAAGCAGGGGCGCTTAACCCAGTTCCTCTCGAGACGCGTTTTCGGTATGAAGGTGGTCAGCCAAGCGACAGAACAGTGACGAACCTAAGTCATAACAGGCGTTTCGTGGGAGGCACCACCACATTGCACATAGCAGCTACGTAGAAACCCCTGACTGTAGGGAGGCACCCTAAGAAGCAGGTGTGCTTCTGAGAAGCCTTCCCCCTACCCCTGCCCCACCCCCCTCTGCGCGTGGCTGACCTCCTCCCTCCTCCCTCAACCCTGCCTCTGTGCCCATGCTCCCTCCCCCTTCCCTCTCCCCCCCCCCTCGGCCCTCCCCCCTCTGGCCTCTGCCACCCTCCCTCCTCCCAGCTCCTCATCCCTCCTGTCCCCTCACTGCTCGATCGCAGGGCCGTGGAGCAGTGGCCGAGCATCGCAGGACCCTGAGATCCGACGCCTCGAAAAATGGGGTGCCGTGAAAATCGCCACTGGAGCCCCAGACCCCCTCTTCCTGCGCACTTTTTCGGGCTGGATCGATCCGTGAGGGTCCCGGGGCCCGAGACTGGGCGGAGGCGCCCGGCTCGAAAGACAGCGGAGCCGGCCCAGGATCCCCGGGGGCCCCTGCTGCAGCTAGGCGCCTGGCCTTGGCGGCGTCCGGGAACTCCAGGAAGTCGAAGATCCGCCGCAGGACCTTCTGGGAGCCCTTCGCGCCTCGATCCCGCGGGCGCGGCGCGGCGCGGCACGAGGGGTGCGCGGGCCGCGGAGGCCCGGGGAAGAGCCGGGGAGGCACCGCCGCGGCGCGAGGATTATCGGGGCGCCGTGCGCGGATCATGTCACGCAGGGCTGGGCCTGAACATAGGTTTCTGTTTTCGTTCCGCCCCTGCTGCAAAAAACGAGACCCACGCGAAGACGGCCCACGAGCTCGCTAGAGCACCGTGTAGGCCGAGCCCTGACATCATGCACACACCCGGGGCGGCGAGCACTTGCGATGGTGCCGTCCCCGTGCGGGCGGAGGGAGAAAACCGTGTGTGCCACCGGCTCGAGCGCTGGCCGCCGGAACTCGTTCCGCTCGGCCTACTCTCTCTCTCTCTCTCTCTCGCCCCTGCTCTTTTGGACGCCCGAAATGGGTACGGAAAAAATTGGTACAATGCCCAACAACAAGTGTTGTCCCAAACCAACAGCGGCCGCTGTTAGGCAGGCGGCCCCCTGTCTCAAAGGTACACAGGCCGCGGCGGCGCGGACAGCGAGTCCTGCTCAAAATGGGCAGGAACTGCTGCTGGGCATTGTACCCATTCTTTCCGTGCCCATGACTTGGGCGCCCGAGTTATCCGGGGTAACTCAGGTCCGGGGTAACTCGGGTTTGGATTCCCGAAAAAGGAACCCGAGTTAGCCCTGACCCGAGTTACCCCTGATGATTTGGGGGCTCTGGACGCCCGTCATTCAGAGCTCCGAATTATCCGGGGTAACTCGGGTCAGGGCTAACTCGGATTCGTTTCTCGGGAATCCGAACCCGAATTACCCCCTGCGCTCGCCCGTTTCTGCTGCCCGGCGGTCGGCCGTGGCCGGCTCCCGCGGGGTGCTTCAGGCCTCGCCACGCGCCGCGAGGCTGCGCGTGGCCCGGCTTCGGCTGCGGCGGCGAGCCCGGGGGGGGAGGGGAGAGGGAGAGGGCCTGCCCAGAAGGCTCGGGAGCCCCTCGGCCTCCCGAGCTCTCTGCGCCCGCCCTGGAGGCACAGACAGAAACTCCTCAGAGGGCGCGAGGGCTTCTGAGACGTCCCTCCGCCTCCTGAGAAGGCCCTCTCCTTCTCACTTCCCCCCCTCGCTCGCCCCCGACACGCCCTCTCTAGATCGATGACTGTTTGGGCATCGGCGGGGGGGGGGGAGGAGGAGGAGGAGGAAAAGGAGGGGGGAGGAGGGGGAGGAGGAAAAGGAGGCGGAGGAGGAGGAGGAGGAAAAGGAGGAAAAGGAGGCGGAGGAGGAAAAGGAGGAGGAAGAGGAAGCGGAGGAGGAGGGGAGGAGGAGGAGAAGGGGAGGAGAAGGAGGAGGAGGAGGAGGAGGAGGAGGAGGAGGAGGAGGAGGAGACCGTGCTCTTGGCCACCCAGATTCGCGCACTGCGCCCCGCAAACACGCCGCGCTGCGCTACTCTTTTGGCGCCCCCGCGCCACCCCGTTTGGCAAGAGCAGCCCGTCGGCCCAAACCGCGACACGCAGACCGCGCGATGCTCCTCGCGGCCCCGTGGGCGATCCGGAGATCTCCTGCAGCATGGAACATGATCGGCCCACGAACCCGGAAAGGAATACAGCCATGCAACGCATGGCAACGTTTTCAAAGACACCTGATTGGGCGACGGGCAAATGTAATGCTGAGTTGATCGATATTGCTGTACCCTGCCGAGGGCTGTGCTGAGCTGCGCCGTGCAAAATTGCGATGTGTCATGACGAGATTGTGATCTATAGCGTTGTGGATCGAGTCCTCCTTTGCTTCCGAGTCGTGACCGAACTGATCTGGATCTTAAGCTCGAGCTGCCTGAGCACATAGTAGCTGCCCCAGAGCCAATTGACAAGGGGACATGCCAGGAGGACGCGCCGCGAAACGTCCCAAGGGATGCGCCAAGCGACGTGCCAAGGGACGTGCCATGGGGACGCACCGCGGGACGTGCCAAGGGGACGCGCTGCGGAACGTGCCAGTGAAAATGCCACGGGACGTGACAGGGGACGCGCCGCGCGACGTGCCAGGGGGACTCGCCACGGGACGCGCCACGAAATGTGCCAAGAAACATGCCAGGTTGCAATGCTGAATGTATCGATCTTGATGTACCGTTCCGACGGCTGTGCTGTGCTGCGCCGTCCTGACTTCGATGTGCCATGCCGCGATTGTGCACTAGAGCGTTGTGGATCGAGTCCTCCTTCGCATTCGAGTCGTGACCGAACTGATCTGGATCTTAAGCTCGAGCTGCCTGAGCACAAAGTAGCTGCCCCAGAGCCAATTGACAGGGGGACATGCCAGGAGGACGCGCCGCGAAACGTCCCAAGGGACGCGCCAAGCGAGGTGCCAGGGGACGTGCCATGGGACGTGCCATGGGACGTACCGCGGGACGTGCCAAGGGGACGCGCTACGGAACGTGCTTGGGACAAGCGTTTTGCTCGAGACATCCCGCCAAAATCCTCATGCTAGACATCCGCCTGACATGAAAACGAGCGTTTCGCTCAACACATCCTCAACACATTCTCATGCTAGACATCCGCCTGGGCGAACTGGACACTTGAAAACAAGTGGTTCGCTCGAGACATCCTCAATACATCTGCATGTGAGACGTCCGCCTGGGTGACCTGGGCACGTGAAAACAAGCGTCTCGCTCGAGACGTTTTCAACACCTCCTCATTCTAGACATCCTCCTGAGCGACCTGTACACGTGAAAGCCAACGTCTCGCTCGATACATCCTCAACACGTCTTCATGTTAGACATCCGCCTGGGCGACCTGGACACGTGAAAACAAGCGTATCTCTCGAGACATTCTCAACACATCCTCATGCTGGGCATCCGCCTGGGCAACGTGCAAACAAGCATCTCGATCGAGACTTCCTCAACACATCCTCATGCTAGACATCCGCCTGGGCGACGAGGACGCGTGAAACCAAGCGTCTCGCTCGAGACATCCTCAACAAATCCTGGCGCTAGACCTCTGCCTGAGCAACCTGGAGGCGTGAAACCAAGCGTCTCGTTCGAGACATCCTCAAGACCTGGGCACGTGAAAACAAGCATTTCACTTGAGAGATCCTCTGAAATCTGGTCCCCAGGAGAAGACAATCTATAGCACAAAACAAGCGTTTCGCTCGAGACATCCTCAACAAATTCTGAAAACAAGCGTTTCGCTCGAGACATCCTCAAATTTGAATTCGCCGGCCCACCTCGACCTCGATATTTATCGCAAAAGAAGTTCGCCGGCCTACCTCAAATCAAACCCGGGGGTAAACCCACTAAAAGAAAACCCTGGGCCTCAGCCCTTTCCGGGAAAAAACACGAAAAAAGCAGCGACAAGTCATACAACTACCCCTAACCCTTTGAGAGGGGACCTGAGCCAGGAGGACCAGAAACACCAGGGATGGGGGTCTTGTTTGCAGATGTCTCAGAAGAAACTTCACGATGGCCCTAAGACCCGAGGACCTGAGTTAGACCACGAGTTCAGAGTGTTGTTGGGGTTACGGGGTGGCAGTATGCTCAATGATAGAGGCCCCCAAGATAGGGTCCGAGTAGATGGGGTCGGAGGATCGCGCCGCATCGTCGATACATCGTCGGTGCATCGGCGATGCATAGGTGATGCACTGGCGACGTCGGCGGTGCAATGGCGACGCCAGCGTGGAGAAAACCGGGCTCCACATCGAGCCGCATCGCCCATGCATCGGCGATGCATCGGCGACGCGGCGCGATCCCCCGACCCCTATCTGCTCGGACCCCAATCTGGGAGGCCTAGAAGTGAAGCAGGAGGCCGCGGCACCCGCGAGCGCGTGGGCGGCGCTGTCGGCCCCCAGCCGCGGGTGCAGCGCCATGAGGAAGGCGTGCTTGCACGCCTCGGGCAGGCTCAGCAGCAGCTCGTACCGCTCCAGGGAGGCCTGCGGGATGTCCTCCCGAGGGCGGCGGCGGGCGGGCCACGAGAGGGGGCCGCGGCGGAGCGGGGCGGCGCCAGGGATGGCCCGACGAGGTGCCCTGGGCGTTCCGCGGCCGCCGCTGCGCAGAGGGCACCCAGGTACAGTGGCAGCTCGACCACACGAGACCTGCCACACGAGGCCCAACCCTGAGACCCCAGGACGTCCACTGACTTTCGGTGTGGGAGCGCCACGCCTTCCACAGCAAACCCACCGAAGCCCAAGAAACCCAGGGCACCCTGGAGGCAAGCAGGGTGCTTCTTGGCATGGGCCTCCTCTGCACACCACTAACGCCATGCCTGGGCAAGGCCATCCCTAGGCCCTGGCGGTGTGCACACGCCATCCTGGCCGCGGCCACGGGGTACGCACATCATCCCGAGGATCCGGGATCTACAGACCCGGGTGAATCCAAAAACCCAGGACTGTCGGGCTTCGTAGGAGCCTGCAAAATCCTGCAAGATCCTGCGCGCAAGCCCGGGTCAATGAACTCCTGGCTCTGCGGGATCCTGCAGGACGCTGCGCTCTGGCCGACCCTCGTTTGCACTGACCCCCGCCTCCTGGGCCCCGAAATGATGGTGTACCCAGACATGTGGCGGCTCGATTTATTCGACGGCCAAATATCTCGACCACTTGCCCGGGGCCAGCTTTCCCCCCCCCCCCGAGTTTTTCGACGGCCAATAAGCCCAAAACTGGCCTCCGATAGCACATAATGGCTTGAGCAAGGACCGACCGTCCCGGCAATCCTATAGGCCTACCACGCAATTTCTTACAACAAAGCAATGCTCTAAGAAAAAGAGTGCACTAGCATTATAGCATAAAACGGCATATTAAAACAAGACAATGTCAGCCAGAAATGTTCTAAGAACATGTTGTGCAAGTCACAAAAGGTTTTTAGAACATCCTTTAGCGGGCCTACAGGTAAGCCAGGACGCTTCGCCACTGCTTCAATGGTAGAACAACGGCTGACCGTCCGCGGCAATCACCCACCGGGGGGGAGCGGGAACGATAGTGGGGGCCGGCTAAGATAGGGAGCCCACAAAAGACGTACGCGCCTAACCACGTACATGAAGACGGCCCCCCAGTCCGCGAGACTAGCCGCGTGATACGAATGCGTACTCTCGAAACCAGCGTGGATTCATGTACGTCTACGTCCCTCTTTCGCTCCTGGTAAGGGGGGAGCATCCACCTGGAATCGGCGATCTCAGATTGATCGACGATCGGCTCCCGATAGCAAATCCGCAGTTTCTGGGCGGGGTGGGCTTTCAGGCCCGCACTGGCGATCAATAGGCGATTGGGGGTTGATGCTTCGCTCCCCTGAGCACACCGGAAGGGGGGGGGGGACTCTCTACGGTTCGGCCGCCACCACGGCCATCAGCCGTCCTCCGTCACGACCCACACCTGCGGGTGTCTCCTGAGGAACCTGCCGAGCTCCGCCCGGCTCGGCGGGCTCGGGTCGTCCGCGGCCATCACCCCTGCAAGGTGCGCAAAAATCTGGTGCTGCCAGGGGAGCCACTGGCCGTGTCCCCACGATTTCCGAGGAATGCCGACGGGGCCCTGGGGGCTTCCAAATTGGAAAAGTACCGATACCGCTGCTCCACGGATCTCTCCCGGGATGCGTTCTGACCAGGATTCCTAGCTGCATCCAGCGGTGGCGACGAGAGCCTCCGAGGAGGCCCAGCAAGGGAAAACGAGGGAAGGGTAGCGGTATGGGTACCTCTCCCTCCTCTGACCGAAGTGGGTCGGGCAGCTAGGGACGCCTTGGGCCAGGGACGCCTCTGGCAACACCCACATGAGTCCTCATTGTCACCACAGACTGGGGGCGACCGACCATGTATGGCACGCGCCTTGCTGCGCGATGCGTCTGCCGCGCCCCACAGAGCACTGCCGCAGGTCAGCAGTCCTGGGCCTGTGGTGATGGTGGTGAAGGTATTAAGGGATCAAGAAACGCCCCTACCCTGGGTGACAAGGGCGTGGTTTTTCAACCTCCTGGAAGCTCCCAAAGGCCAGAGAGCCGCCAGAAAGCCGCGCGACACGTACGATACGCAGGGCGTACCCTGTCAGCCAACAGGAGGTTCAGCGCACAGCGCCTCGAAAGCCAGGGTAGGGGCGTTTTTTGCAAATGCCCTTGAAGCTAGGCCCACGACCTATAAGTTGCCCGGTGGGGCCCAGGATGTCGGCCAGGTGGCTCAGGGTCTGGAGGGAACAGCCTTCGGAGACGTCTTTATATAAAGTGGGACTGGCGCCAGCGCCAAACAAGAGCAGATGGCGCCCCGAGACCGCGCCGCGTCATCGTCGGCGCTGCGGCACTGGAGCAGATGATGCTCCGAGGCCAGAACGCACCGCCGATCAACCGTCGACGCGGTGCGAACTAGAAAGACCATTTCCTTCCGCCCAATTTGGAACGCTCTGGCCAGCCTAGAACGAAAATACGGCTACGCGGCCGGATCGGGAAGTGGAGGAACTGGTTCTGCACGCCGGCCGCGATGACGCAGGAGTACGGGTTCCATGGCCGCAAGATGGTGTGCACCCCCTGGAGATTGCGTTTTTTTACCTCGTTGCTGGCATCCGAGGCCTTGGCTGCGAGGCCAGTAGTTACACACATCCACCGCCTGGGGGAACGATCTCCCAAAACTCCAAGGGGCGCTGGGTGTGGACACGGTTGGGCCCCAGGGGGTCCAGATATATAGCACCCCGCAGTCGCGGATAAGAATGAGGAACCGGGTGGGACGTCGACAGTCTGCGAGATGCTGAAGAAGTCCGGCAGTCGGCGAGTTTCTGAAAAAGCCCGCCGCAAGCGCCTGATGTTTACAAATTATCCAACGAGCCAGCCACAGGCGCCGATTCTTCGTTAAAGCAATGTGGGTGGGTCGCGGGTCGCGGGGTGGGTCGCGGGGTGGGTCGCGGGTGGGTCGCGGGAGGGTCACCAATGTTTCGCGGGTAGGTCGCGGGCCAGGTCGCGGGTGGGACGACGACCACAAGCAACAAACAACAGCAGCAACAACAACAACAATCAGTTTACCCTCATGCGCGATGTTTCCACACGAAACATGCGACCATCATGATAACCATCCACATCATGGGGGACTCTTGTTCTATAGCGGGGTCCGATATTCCCATTCCCAGATTTCCCGCCGAATGAGATCTTGCAAACACCTCCTCCGAGGAATTTCAACATATCCCGCCTCGAAAACACGTGCCCGCGCCTTGCTGCGCCGATGCGAAGTCGCCTGTGGAACCCCAGCGTAGGGTAGAGCACAAGGAAATAACTGTCGAACGACAGGATTGCCTTGGTGAGGATGGGGGCTGTCGGCGGTGAGGCAACGACCTGGCCCTGAATCCACCGACCCTGTCGGCGTGTGGGAAAGGTTTTCCCGTCTTCTCCACAGCGTCGTCGCCTCTTCTGCTTTCCGAAGGCCCCTTGCACAAGTCCACACAAAAATTGAACAATGTCGTCCTTCAGTCGAAGGGAAGCCCCTTCCCTTGATCCCTTCCCCGCCGGGGGGGGGGGTCCCGGGGCAACTCCCGAAGGGGGTTCCCCCTCACCTCCCGGTGGGGGTCCCCCCTCGGATGATACGCAGTCCCCCGCCTCTCATCCTCCTGCGTCCTGGGGTTCCGTTGGCCCTCCGGGGCCGTCTGCGGTGCCTTTGATCCTTTCCCCGCCGAAGGGGCGGGGGGGGTCCCAGGGCAACTCCCGAGGGGGGGTCCCCCCTCGGATACGCAGTCCCCCGCCTCTCATCCTCCTGCGCCCTGGGGTTCCATTGGCCCTCCGGGGCCGTCTGCGGGCCTTTTCAGCCTATCTTAAGGCTCCTTGGAGACCTTTCGCCGCTTTAAAACTCTCTTGGCAGCCTCTGGCGGCACTCTTGACAGCCTCTGCGGGCGTTTTTGGAACTCGTTTGACGCCGTCTTGGAACCCTCTCGGGCCACCTGAGAGCGCTCTCTGCCTATCTTGGCACTCTCTGGAGCCGTTCCCGAACCCTGGAGGAGGCCTCTTGAGCTGTCCTCGGACGACTTTGCAGACATCTGGCGCCGTCTTCGAGCCACTTGAGGGCATCTTGGACTCCTCTACCTCCATTGTCTTCGTCGTCGCTGCATACAGGGTCGGCGGCATCGGCCGCAAGGCCTTCGCAACTGACAGGGGGGAAGTCTCGAGCAGGGCTGCTGTTGTTGCTGGGAGCGGCGCCAATGCTGAAGAGAGAAAGGCACTAGTCCAACGTAAAACAAAACGAAATCTCGAGTGATAACGCTGGTTTTGTTGGGACGGCGGCTTTCGGCGGCGAGGAGGAACACCGCCTCGAGTAAGAAAGGCGGAAACATCAAGCGGGAGCAATGGTTTTGGGGGGAAGCCTCGAGCGGGAGCGTTGCTCTTGCTGGGAGCGGCGCCAATTCAAAAGAGAACTGGGCGCCAGTCCAGCGTAAAACGGAAGGAAGTGTCGGGCGGGAGCGTTGGTTTTGTCGGGGCGGCGGTTTTTGGCGGCGAAGAGGAACGCCGCTTTGAGTAAGAAAGGAAGAGCCATCGAGCGGGAGCAATGGTTTTGTCGGATATAAAACCCGAAAAAAAAGATATAGAACCGCATGCGTGGAAACGTTTTCACGATACCGCATTGGGCGACCGGCACTTCCACGAAACACCCCGCGAAACATTCCACGAGAATCGGGTGATCGTTTGCAACGTTTTCCTGGAAATATTCCACGAGACACCCCGCGAAACAATCCACGACACCCCACGAAACATTCCACGACGACAGGCAACCACTCAACTAAAGCGGTGTGGTCGTTCTGGGGAGTGGTCGTGCTGGGGTGTGGTCGTGCTGGGGGGTGGTCGTGCTGGGGGGTAGTTACTCGTGCTGGGGGGCGGTCGCGCTACGGCGCGGTCGTGCTGGGGCGCGGTCGTGCTGGGGCGCGGTCGTGTTGGGGCGCGGTCGTGCTGTGGTGAAGTCGTGCTGGGGCGCGGTCGTGCTGGGTGATGGTCTTGCCCGAATGGAGCCGTACTGGGGTGGGGTAGTGCTGATGTGGTCGTGCTGGGGTGGGGTCGTGCTGGGGTGGAGTCGTGCTGGGGTAGGGTCGTGCTTGGGTGTGGTCGTGCTGGGGTGCGGTCGTGCTGGGGCGCGGCCGTGGAAACGCATGTAGAACCGCATGCATGGAAACGTTCTCACGACACCGCAATGGGCGACGGGCACTTGCAACGCTGAAGGTGTCGATGGCGATGTGCTGTGCCAGGGGCTGCGCTGTGCCGCGCTGCGCTGACTTGGAATTCGCCATGCTTCGCTGAACTGCGCTGCGCTCAATTGCGTTGTGGATCAACTCGCCCGTGGCCTCCGAATTCTGGCCGAACTGATTTGGATCTCAAGCCCGAGCTGTCTGAATGCATACGCAATCGGAACGTGCGGGGCTCTCAACCATTTCGAATTCAAGATCCGATTCAGTTCCGAAGCGGGGCGGAGCACGAGGGGGCGAACCCGAACCGCTACTGAATGAAAATCGGTTGGCTGCTTGGTGGCTGGCCTTGGCGGCTGCCTCGTTGGCCGCCTGCTTTGCAGCCCTGCTGGCCGCCTCGTCGGTTGCCTCGTGAGCAAAAGGTAACTCGTCGAATGGCGTCAACGTTTTAAAACGGACTAATTAGCCACATGTGAACGTGCCGTTAGAAACTCACTGGCTGCGTCTCGAGCGACTCCATCGCGAGACTAGTTGCATGGCGCGCGGCGCGTCTAGTGCAATGTTTATACGGTTGGAGGTGACGCCCCGGGGCTGCGCGACGAGGACGAAGACGGCGGCGAGAACGGCGGCGAGTTTCCAGGCGGGGATAACCTCCTTATCCCCGCCTGGAACCTCGAATGGGTTCGTGCACTTGGAGAAGGCACATACGTAAAAACACATGGGTTCGTGCACCTGGAGAAGGCAAGTCTCTGGGGCGCCCAAATCCCTCAACTTCTACAAAACAAGCGATTCGCTCGAGACATCCGCGGTAACTCTGCGGAGCAAGCGTTTCGCTCGAGACATCCTCTACACACGAAAGAGCGGCCCGCACCCTATGATTTATCGATCGGGATTTCAAAAACAAGCGTTTCGCCTGAGACATCCTCAAATGTTAATCCGCCTGCCCACCTCGACCTCGATATTCATCAGGAAAAGAATCCGCCGGCCCACCTCAGTTGAGGCACCGGGGACAGGTTTACCAACTAAAAGAGAACCCTGGGCAGGCGCCATTTCAGGGAAAAAGGGAGAAGGCTCGAGCGGGAGCGTTGTTTTTGCTGGGGTCGGCGCCGCTGAGAGACCACCGCGCCAGTCCAAGGAAAAACAGGAGGAAGTCTCGAGCAGGAACACTGGTTTTGTTAGGACGGCGGCTTTCGGCGGCGAGCAAGAACACCAGCCCTAAGTAAAAAGGAGGAAGTCTCGAGCGGGAGTATTGTTGTTGTTGTTGTTGTTGTTGTTGTTGTTGTTGTTGTTGTTGTTGGGGGAGGGGGGGCGGTTTTGGCGGCCCCCCAAACCGCTCGAGCGTGAGCCTCATTTTCAATGAAAATGTAGCCGGCGCCTCGGCGAGAGCGCCAGGGCGCCTACAAGGGGCTCAACAATAATAATTGTTTAGTAATTAACAGCTAACAAAAACAACAGCAACAACACCACCAACAACAACAATCATTCTAAGACTGTTCGCTCTTACTTGCCTGCGTATCATTCAAAACGAGTTCCCCAAACCCTCGATACCCCCCCTTTTGTCATCGAGCACACACCCTTTGAGGGGTTTACTTTCTTTGCGGGGGGCGGCGGGCTCAGACAGGCGGGGAAACCTGAAGGGGCGGAGAATCCTTCGTGGGCGTACATGTGCCCGCCATTGGAATTGGTGTGGGCCCTGCAAAAAGAGGAAGGGGAGAACGAGGGAGAGTGGGAGGAAGGGAGGGGGAGGGACGAAGGAAGAGGGAAACGCCAGGAGAGAAGGAGCGAAGGGGGGGGCGGTTGATTAGAGGCAGAGAGAGAGAGAGAATGACAGATAAGAGAAGTAGAGAAAGAGACAGAGAGAGGGGAGAGAGAGAGAGAGAGAAAGAAAGAAAGAAAGAAAGAGGTAAGGAGGAGGCAGGAGAGGGGAAGGAGAAGGGAGGAGGGAGAGGAGTGAGAGGGGATAGGGCAGAGAGGCATAAGGATGAGGGAAGAAAGGAGGGAGAGAGAAGGGAAGAAGGGAGGAGAGGAGGGAGGAGGGAAAGGGAGGAGGAGGAGCAGGAAGGTAAGAGCGTGAACATTCGAGGAAGTCCTAAGCGAAAGCGCCATTCCTGAAGGAAGTCTCGGGCGGGAGCCCCCGACGGGCGGGCGATCCCCTGACGGGCGGGTCGGGCGGGTGGGACATTCAAGCGGGATGCCTGAATATGGCGAGAGCGCGACTACTAAGTAAAGTGTAACGGCGTCCTTGGCGCGATTCCTGAATCAATTGTAGGGAAGTCACAGGCGAGAGCGCAATTCCTGAATAAAATGTGAAGGGTTCTCTGGCGGGAACGGGGGTCTTGATTGAATTGCGAGGAAGTCTTGATTCACTTGCGAGGAAGTCTCAAGCGGGAGCGCCGTGCCTGAGTAAATTGTGAGGAGTCTCAAATGGGAGCGGGTGTCTTGACTAAATTGCGAGGGCGTCACTGGCGGGAGCACCAATCCTGAGCAACTTGTGAGGAAGTCTCAGGGGCGGGGGTCGTGAGTACATTTGGAGGAAGTCTCTCGCGGGAGCCGTTGTTGTTGTAATCCGGGGGGCCAGGGGCGCAGTTTGAGCACCAAGTGTTTCCCTGTCAAGAAACAGGGTGAGAGCGTCGAGGGGCAAACTTTGATTGAGAAAAAACAGTATGCACCCGTGAGGGGGAATCAACAACAAATATTCTTCACAAATGAGAGTTCAACAACAACAACAACATAAACAACAATCACAACAACAGCAACAGTAACAGCAACAGCAACAACGGCAACAACAAAAACAACAACAGCAACAACAACAACAACAACAGCAACCACAACAACAACAACAACAGCAACAACAACAACAACAACAACAACCACAACAACAACCACAACAACAACATCAATAGCACAAACAACAACATCAATAACAACATCAACAACAACAACAAGAACACCAACAACAACAACAACAACAACAACAACAACAACAACATCAACAACAACAACAACAACAACAATCACTTTACCCGAACGCTCAGTGTTCTCACCAGTGCCAGGGTTTTCATGCGACGCCAGCCAATACCCCCACTTTGTGGGGGGGCAGTGCAAGCTCTACCAAATATCCACACGACTCTTCGCCACCACCCACACCCAGCTTCCCGCCCTATGACGTTCGGACACTTCACTTCGTGGCCTGCGGACGACCGTGGCTACTACACTGGCGTGGAGTACACACCCACAGAAGTTGTTAGGACAGCGCGCGCGGGTAGAAATTTTGAAAAGTCGTGCAGGTGTTTTTCGAGGACCTACGGTGCGATTCGTGTGATTTTATGATGCGCGGTGCTAAAATTCTTAAGAAGCCCAATGGTTTTTGGAGATTTCGGCGTGCGCGCGCGAAGAAAAAACGAATGTGTCCCGCATGGTATTATTTGACAGGGATGATGGCCCTGGCAGGTGCGCAACCGTTGTCGCAGAAGTTCGAAAAAGTTGCTCGCAAAAGCCCGTTTGACAGAAATGTTTAAAAAGTGTTGGGTTTCCTACGAATCCGCAAGAGCGCGCGGGATGAGATTTTGACAATTTTTTGTTGAAAAACCATTGGTTTTTTGATGTTTTTATGTTAAAATCGCTGCGAACACTAAGGTTTTGGAAGGATTTCGTCTTGCGCGCGCGAATGTCCACTTTACCTTATTTTTTGCAAGGGATTCTTGAAATTTGATTATATTAGAACAAGAAATGTCATTTTATAGTGTTTTTTGCAAGGGAAAGCGGATTACAACAAAACAACCGGATCTTGATGACATCGTTTACCTGAGGCTTCCTCACGAAAATGATGAAAATGTAGCTGCGGCCTAGGCGGCGCAGGGGGGGCGTGCACCAGGGGGCCCAACAATAATTATTCTTTAGAATTAATAATGTTCAACACAACAACAACAATTACTAGCACGTGGGGACACTCCGTTCTCACCAGTGCCAGGGTTTTCATAGGAGGCGGGCAATACCCCCACTTTGTGGGCCCGCCCTATGACGTTCGGACACTTCACTTCGTGGCATGCGGACGACCGTGGCTACTATTCAGGGCCCCGCGGCCGACGACGACGGCGTGCGCGCGCGAAGAAAAAACGAATGTGTCCCGCATGGATTATTTGACAGGGATGATGGCCCTGGCAGGTGCGCAACCGTTGTTGCAGAAGTTCGAAAAAGTTGCTCGCAAAAGCCCGTTTGACAGAAATGTTTAAAAAGTGTTGGGTTTCCTACGAATCCGCAAGAGCGCGCGGGATGAAATTTTGACATTTTTTTTTGAAAAACCATTGGTTTTTTGATGTTTTTATGTTAAAATCGCTACGAAAACTAAGGTTTTGGAAGGATTTCGTCTTGCGCGCGCGAATGTCCACTTTACCTTATTTTTTGCAAGGGATTCTTGAAGTTTGGTTATGTTAGAACAAGAAATGTCCACTTTAGCTTATTTTTTGCAAGGGAAAACCGATCGTAACAACACAACCGGATCCGGACTCCCCCGTTTTGCCTGAGACTTCCTCACGAAAATGATGAAAATGAGGCTGCGGCCTAGGCGCGGCGGGGGGGTCGTGCACCAGGGGTCCCAACAATAATTATTCTTTAGAAGTAATAATGTTCAACAACAACAACAACAACAACAACAACAACAACAACAACAACAACAACAACTACTACTACTACTACTACTACTACTACTACTACTACTACTACAAAACAATTACAACAGCAGCAGCAACAGCAGCAGCAGCAACAACAATCCGCACCCCAGAACCTCACTTCAGCCACGCGCCCAGGGACAGTGAATGACCGCTCGTCCCCCTCACCCTGCTATCTGCACCCGCCGCCTCCCATGGTCCAGACAGATCAGCTCCCTGGGCGGTGGCCAATTACGCACAACTCCCCGCCTCGGACAACTGGCATCCAAGGCCGTGACCCTCCTGGCTTGGCTGACAGACCACCGATGAAGACGCGGCGGAGTACACAGTACACAGACACATAGAAAAAGGCAAGGAACAACAACAAGCAAGAGCAAACAGCATCCTGATAACACAGCGCAATCGGCGAGTACTCCGGGCCACCCGGCTCCTGACGGGGCCGCAGGGGGAGGGAAGAGGAGGACGGCGACGGCGGCGATGGCGGCGCCGTTGACTACGACTACGTGGGGGCGCAACGACGACGACGACGACGACGACGACGACGACGACCAGGAGGGAGGCGAAGGACCCCTGCCTGAAGCCCGTCCGAGATAACTTGGGCCAACGGGGAGGGTGTCCGACGCTTCCTGCCCCCCGGGTGCCCTCCCTGTGGCGTCGGTTGGTGCTCGGAGAGGTGGCGACCTGGGGCCAGAAGCGCCCCGGAGCGCACGTGGGCGAGAGGTGGCTCCCCAGGCTTCGGGTGTTCGGTGCCGGTGACGTGTTCTGTCATGTGGCGCTGTGCCCGGGGGGAGTCGGCAAACCACTCTGCGGGTCAGATGCTGCGCACAGGCGGTGCGCTCTGCCGGTGCAGCTGCATGGCGCCGTGACCGCGGTGCGCCGGGAGATCGGTGCTTCCAGCTCCTGCTGCCGAGCAGGCGCTTCTTCGCCGTCGCTGCAGCCGAGCACTCCAAGCACTCTGCTCCCCCACCCTCTCGCCCTCCAGCTCCCCCGCTCCTTCCCACTCGCCTCTCCCATCTCCCACTCCCCCCACCATACTGCTCCTTCTTCCTCCTCTTCCATCGTCGGCAGAAATCTCGAAGGGGCTTCCCATGATCTGCCCCAAGTGCGGGCAACTCACAAAAAAGTCAGCGGGCCAAAGGAAAAGGGCTGCTCACACCTGTCCGAGCAAGGCGTGAGAGCGCCCACACGGAATAGAAGTGAAAATGAGTCACCGGAGACAAACTCCCCAACCATGTTGGCCAGCTCAAGCGCACAGAGAACATGAGAGTATCTGGCAAAGTGCCGCGAGGCACGAGTTGGGGTGTCCTCACGTCCCCTTGTAGTTCGCAGTCCTGAATCCCCAGAATGTGAGCGTTTATGTATTCTGGGTTTCGTCATTTGGCGCAAGGGGGAGGGGGGGGGGGGTCCGGCTCTCGTCCCGTAGTCAATACCTCCGATTGAATCATCTTGAAATTTTCAACATAGCTTAAAATTGCCAAGGCTATGCGTGATTGTGCGGGGCTGCGCCAAGGCTATGCGTGATTGTGCGGGGCTGTGCCAGGATTACTATGGATCACATATTCATGATTCCACAAGGCCGTCGGTGGCATAACAGGGGAGGGCCCAACCGGAGGCATGCTTTTTGGCGATCGGGTCCGGCGCCCCTGAGCCCTTTCGTTATGGTTCCAGAAGAATAGCAGGAAAAAGTTCGCACAGTTGCACACATCAACGATTCGAGTTTCTACGGGGGGGGGGGGGGCGCCGGCCCCCGTAGTTCGTCCGATCGACTGAAGCAGGTGCCAAAATCAGCCCATAACTTCTCTACGGGGGGGGGGGGGGGCGGGGGGTTCCGCCGAAAGCAAAAAACAATAATAAAAGAACGATCACAATTCAAGGGCCTGGACCCCCGATTCTGAAGTTTCCTGGGGCTCCCCGCGGCTCTCCCGCGGTTTCCCGCATCTGGTCGCCATGAACTGTTCGGGCCCAAGAAGACCAAAAGGCGAGCCAAGAAGGCCCCAAGAGGCCTGTCAGATGTTATAAGAGGGCTCCGAGTCGCCAAGCGATCGGTCCAAGACGCCCCAGATCTCCTCCAGCCGGTCCAAGAGGCCTCCAAGACGCTCCAAGAGAGCCCAACGAGCACGTCTACGAGGGCCCCGAGAGGCGAACATCGTTGATTGTTTTAAGGTGTTTGAAAGGTTTTCGTGTTCTCGTCTTGTCGGTCTTCCGACGCTCCAAGACGTCCCACGCGGCTCCCACGATCGCTTCAAGATGGCCCACGAGGCCCCCTAAGAGGGCCCCAAGACGGGCCGAGCGGGCCTCAAGACGGCCCAAGAGGCCTCCAAGACGGCCCACGCGGCCCCACGATCGCTTCAAGATGGCCCACGAGGCCCCCAAGAGGGCCCCAAGGCGGGCCGAGAGGGCCCCAAGACGGCCCAAGAGGCCTCCAAGACGGCCCAAGAGGCCCCCAAGGGAAAACGGACTGACTGCTCGCGCCTAGCACCCTCAGAGGGCCCCTGAGATCGCCAGCAGTCCCTCGAGAGGCCCCAAGAGGCACCAAAGATGCCTAAAGAGGCCCCAGAACGGCTCCCAAGAGGTCTCAAAGCTGCTTCCAAGAGGCTACCGAAAAAGCTTCCCAAGAGACCCCGACAGGCAATCCTGAGGAGACTGACCCGCAGCACCAGGCACGGTTGCGGGCCGGCCCGAAGGTCGTTCAGATCCGCCGCCCCCCGTTGCCCTGCCACATGGGCGCACGGCCACGCGGAACCAAATGAAGCCGTAGAGAACAATAAGTCCGATGGGCCCCGTGAGCACCATAGAGACACATGCTTCGCAGAAGCTCTAAAAACCATGCGCTCCTGCGAATATGAGGCCTCTCGAGCCCTACCAGTCGAGTGAACGCCATGGAGCCCCACGCGGCCTTCAAGAGCATACGTGCCCTACGAAGACAAGCGGGACGACTGCACATACTACTGTGAGTAATCCTGAGACGCTGAGACTGACAAGGGGCCTTAACTGAGAATGCACTTACGCGGAGCCCGTTCACTATAACATGCATCGATACAGCCGTGCGCTTTGCTCATGCACGCGTTCGCTCGTTCTGCCGCACTAGCAAAACTCAAGCAACATGAATGTGCATTGGGCTTCCATCACTAATCCGTACAGCCGCTCGAAGATACCGAAGCACGCCAAAGGCAAAGGCAAAGGCAAGGTGTTGCAATTGTAAGGTGCTGTTAGATCCAGCTGCTACCTTGGCGGAGGCATACTCATGCGAAAGACCCAGCGTAGCCCGTTGCGGGTCGGGGCGACCACTTTCTGAGAAAAGTGTCGCCGGGGGTACAGATTCCCCCCCCCCCAAGGAAACCACTTTCAGCAAGAAGAAGTGTTTGGTGTGGCGGTTCGCGCTGCTTTGCACAACGCGTAGACGCAAGCAATATCGAACCCCATCGGTCCAGCCCGGGCTGGCCGGTGGCATCATCCATTGCCGCTGGGCATCTTCCCATGCCGAAGTGGCAATGGGAAGGTCCTGATCAATCATGTGCTCCCCTGCGAAGGCATGCGCCACCAGGCGGCTGCGCAAACCGCCGAGACTCGGCCGCATGTCATGTGCTGGTCATCTTCTTTCACAAGCGATTTTTCTCCCGCAACCCCCGAGGTCCGCTTGAAAAGTTTGCCGTTCAGAAGAGGGGGAAACCCGCGGATCAACCCCCAGGGGGCTATTCGGACGCACCCCTATCGAGGATGGACGCCCCCCATCGTACATCCCAGGGTTGGGCCCCAACTCTTTGGTACATTCGAAAGCCTCCCTCCCTCATGTCCCTCCTCCCCCCCCTTCCTCACGGCGACGAGGGCACCAACAGCAGCAATGACGACGGCATCGACCGCGACCGCGACAGCGATGACGACGGCGGCGGCGGCGGCAACGACCACGGCCACGGCCGTGACCACGACGACGACGACGACGACGACGACGACGACGACGGCGACGGCGACGGCGACGGCGACGGCGACGGCGACGGAGACGACGCGGCGACGACGGTGACGCAACTCCTGGGGCTCGCCGGCGGTGAGGTCCCCGTCGCGAGTCTCGCGCAGGGTGCAGGTAATGCCGACCGGCGGGCGGGAGGACTGGCGCTTGTTGCGGCCGATGGAGCAGACCTTCGCGCTGGCAGCCACATGCGAACCCTACCCCTACCAGTCACATCCTGGGGGGCCCCAGGACACCGATGGGGGCTGAGAAACTACAAGGGGGCATGAGCAAAGCGAACTCCAACGAGAGAACGCCAACCAATCCAAATCGATGGGCGGCGGGACTGGGGGTCGGAATCTGCCAAGCATCGCGCGCAGCAGAGGATTGTGACCGTACATCGAAACTGTACGGATGTGTTCTTGTGTGGTTCGGGGAGGCTTCCGCCAATTTCTGAAGGATTCTGGAAGCTTCTGGAGAGTTACTAGATGTTCTGTAGGTGTCTGGCACGCTCCAGAGAGGCTTTGGCAAAGTTCCCAGATGTCCTGAGGTGTTCAGTGTTGGTAGGTCTCCAGAAGTATCTGGAGCCCAACCAAAACATTGACCTCTGAAGTGGTCACGAACAAAAGCCGCGATGGGCGCTACGCCTCAGTCTCAACGCCCGGGCGGTCGCCTTCGCCCCCCCCCCCCCCTTCATGGCACACTAAGGAGAACAGAGCAACCATACCCGCGGCGCCGTGCCGGGGATGACGGGACTGAGAGCTGCAGGTAGGAGGGAGGAGGCAGGGGGAGGGGAGGGGAGGACGGCACGAGGGACAGGGGAGGGCACAGAAGGCCGTCGTGGGCTGTCGAGATTCCCTCGCGTGTTGAAGAGTTGTCCGACGAGTGTGTGCTTGAAGGTTTCCCCAGGCTTCTGGAGATCTGCAGGGCGGGAAGGGAAAAGGAGGGACGGGCAGAGGGTATGGAGGGGAAGAAAGATGGAGTTAAAGTGGGTTGGGCGTTGATTGGCGCTTGTAGGGAGGAAAAAAAAGGTTTGGAAGCTTCTAAGGGTAGGTTGGCGGCGCGCACGCACACGGGGTAGGGGAAGGGGGAAAGAGGCTTCTTGGAAGGAGGCGGCTTCTTAGAAGGCGCGGGCCTTGCATCTGCAGATGAGGCTAAGCCCGCGCCTTTCAAGAAGCATGGTGCTTCAAGGAAGCCCTCCCCTCTCCCCCGGCCCGTGCCCCCCAAGAGCTGCACGCAGACGAGAAAATCGTTGGCCCAGTCACACGACAGTTGTTGTTGGCGGCGCGCAGGGTGGGGGTAGGGGAAGGGGGGAAGGCTTCTTAGAAGGAACCTGCTTCTTAGGAGGCGCCGGCACGCAGGCGGCCCCAAAGAGGCCCCGAGGCGGCCCCCAACATGCTTCAACACTGCCTACAAGGACAAGGACAAGGACAAGCACCGATGTACGCCCCGGGGGTGGCCTTCTGAGAGCTCGGCGTGGGCGCCGGAGCGACGAAACTCAGATGTCGCAGTACATGATTGCTTTACGAGTCGGCATTGGCATCATTGGCTCCACTGAATGCGGTCTTTCCCATACATTTGTACACGGGGCGTTATGCAAAGGAGGGGGACTCCTACAAGACCTACAAGAGGCTACAAGAGGCTACACCTGCCTGCATGCTTCAACACCTGCTACAAGGGGCTCCGCCAAGCCCCCAAACAGCTCCCAAGACGCCCACGAAACACAGAGTGCCCAAGGAAGCCCACGACGCCTCAACCGTGGACGCCACGCCTCATGGGGGTCAACAGAATGGCGCAAGCCTCTTGAATATTTGATGGCACCCAAGTGATAACCTGTACAAGCCAGGGCTCGAGCTAAACAGTGTTTTTCGTGTTCGTCTTGTTCTCTTTTTGTCTTTCATCAGCCTTTGCTGCAAATCGAAATCGAAACGAAAACGGCAGACGAAATCGCCAAAACAACGTTTAGGTCGACCCCTGCTGTACAAACTGCGATGTGTCGTCGTGCCACGCACAGCTTTCGCAGACCTCCATGTCTGTGCTGGTGTAGCGGGGCTGCGGCGAGTCTGGCCAACCTGTCGTGAGATTGTGTTGCTACTTCGCCTACGCATCGCCACTTTCGGTTTGCACCAGTCATTCACTCGTCCGCGAGGAAACGTGACGCAAGGTCTGAAACTGCGCAGGTGGTCACGCGAACAAAGTGCTCCCACGGCTCTAGTGCGCAATCGTCTTCGACGTCATCGCTATCACGTTGCCTTCTGGCGTCGTTTGTGCTCTCCACGTCGCGTGTGACGCCATCGTGGTAGCCAGCACTGGAGTTGGCGTCAGCGCCGACGTCGGCGCTATGCTGCGCGGGAAGGGATCGGCGCGTCACCGAAGAAATTCTCAACGGCGTCTGGCATGAGGGCCCGCCACTGGCTAGAAAACACCCTCGAATCCTTTCATGGGCGCGTGGGACTATACAGTTAAGCTCTGCCCGCCTCCTCATCAGAGAGGGCGGCAAGGGTAAGGAGGAGGAAGCACGGAGGGAGCATTGAAGAGAAAGCAGGAAGGAGCGAGGACGAGGAGTGAGGACAATGAGGGGGGGGAAGGACGAGGAGGAGCCCGCGTCCCCAGCCAGTCATGTCTGCCACGGCGGCGGCGCCCGCGGCGCGGCGGGGGGGAGTCGGGGTGGCCAGGACGACGAAGCTACGAGCAACGATGACGACGACGAGGCGGATGGATACAAGGCACGCAAGGCATGGGGAAACCAAAAGGCACCGATACCCTCTCCCAGGGTGCGATCTTACGCGGTGACTTACGCGGGCCGCCACCATCGTGGCACGCCACATTGGAGACGAGGGCGCTTACGCGCGACCTTACGCGGGAAACCAACACGCCAATGTCGGTGAAGACGAACCCGTTCTTCTTTGTCGCTCACATGTCAGAAGCAGAAGCTGCTAAACCAAAAGGGGGTCCGGGCAAACCGAAGAACACTCGAGGTTACCTTCCCCCAGGATGTACAAGAACATTCCACAAGCACGAACGTCAGGGTACCCTACACGAACCGACCTGGATCTTATACCTCGGTCCGGCCGTATCCCCAAACCGGGGTGCTGGCCGCACGAACACCATATATCATCGTCAAATTACTTCCTCATGCGATGTAGCCTAAGTAGCGCAAGTAGCATCCACTGTCATATTGTGTTATGTGTTGTTACACGGTGCTATGTGTTGTTGTTATATGCTGTTATACGTTCCACCCGCCAAACAAATAACAAACGATGACAACATTTAGCAGCCATATACCAAACGATAACACATGATACCATGTTCGATGCTGTTACAGATTGTTATAGTGTTGATATCGTTGGGGGGGCGAGAGGGGAAGAAGGGGAAGGGAAGGAACATGATAATGGAGGATGGGGGAAAGGGGCATTGGCGGAGCGAAGAGAAGGGACAAGGGAGGCGGGAGGGAGGACGGACGGTGTGAAGGGACTGGGATGAGGTGGTGGTAAGGACGGATAGAGCTTACTACGGGTGCGGGCAGCGATAATCACAAGACAGTGATCTTTCGGCCCCAGCGCCAGCCCAAACGGCCAGCATAATCGGGCGCAAGTCCGTAGAACTGGGAGGGTCAACCACTACGGACCCCGCCGGCCTGCTCCTCGGCATCGGTATCGTCGTCGTCCTCCTCCTCCTCCGCCTCTTCTCCCCTCCTCTTTCATTTGCTCCTCTTCAGCTGAGGCCGCCTCCTCCGAGGCCAGCCTGGGCACTTCCGTGCAAAGCAACATAACTTGAGCAATGGATTGCGACATGGCCGCGCCAGCCATGGGTTGCGCCATGCGTTGCGACATAGATTACGCCATGGGTTCTGCCATCCATGGGCTGCGACATAGAATGTTCCATGGGATTCGGAGCTGAGCAGGCTCGGGCCAGGGAGATGGGCTTGGAGGGAAGGTGGGGCCTGGCGAAATGCATCGTTCGGCCGAACGGGTTGTAGAGGGGTAGGGAAGGAGCTTACAGACTACGCATAAGGCGTCCGAAGTACGGCTAAGTTGTTTGCGAATAAGTTCGGTGAAATAGCTTACCAAAACTTCTAAGTAGCTTACCGCGATCGGCTGAAAACTGAAAACACGAAGAAGTAACGCAACTAAACTCACACCGCAAGGGCAGCACTTACCACAGTCACCAGTACTCAAGACGACTTGCGGCACTCACCTCCGCGCTAGAAGCAGGTAGCACCCAGCGCATACGCGGCACAGACCTCCCAGCGGGGGCGGGGCCACGCTAGCTCGAGCAGCGGCAAGAGAGAACAGCTCCAGGCCCCGTCTCCTCCGGGAGCCAGACGGAGGCAGGACGAGGACAAAATCGGGCGAGGATGGCTACATCGAGAATCACTGAGACCTGGCGGCGCTCTGGAATATGTCTCGGGCGCCACGGCGTTCTGACTACCTACCAGACCACCCCAACCCGACCCGAAGATCCGAATTTCGGGTTGGGGGGGTATGGGCCTCATGTGTTTTGCTTCAGTGTTCCCCGACCCCCCCCCACACTGGAAATGGAAGACACATCGGGGCCTTCGGGTCGGGATGGGGTGGGTTGGTGGGCGGTGACCTTCTCAAAGCGCTCCGGAGCGCTCCGAGAGCGCTCCAGAACGCTCCGGCACGGCGTTCTCCTCCCCGTCCTCGCCCCGTCCGAAGGAGCCCCCTTCCGCCTCCCTCCCCCTAAACCCCCTGAGCCGAGCACTGCACACGGCCCTGAGGGCGGGGCCACGGGGAGCTCGAGCGCCGGCGGGGGCAGCGCCAGGCGCCCTCTCCTCCAGGAGCCCCCCTTCCGTCTCCCTCCCCTCCCGCCCCGCCTGGCCGAGGAGACGGGAGGCAGGCGAGGTGGAGATCGAGGAGACAACAAAGAGGAGGCGGGAGGCAGGCGAGGTGGAGATCGAGGAGACAACAAAGACGAGGCGGGCAGCTTCTGACCGCTACTGCGGTGGCTTCTGCTCCTTTCGGCGCGCGGTTGGCGCGTCGGGGCCTCCTCGTTTGGAGTTGGTTGGCTGCGGTCTTGACGACGGCGGAGTAGCCGAGGCGGGATACGACATCGAGAAGCAGGCGGAGGAGGACTGAGTGACCGAGTCCTCCTCCCACGTCCTGCCCTGGCCGAGCCGAGCCTCAGGGATGCTGAGAGAAGAACACCTGAATGAACATAAGCTGTCAGAAGTCCGAGCGGATGTCTCGGATCGGCACTGGAACCCCCTTCCCTGGCGCGCGGAGCGCGCCAGGGGCGTCCCCAGAGGCGCCAACAGGGGGGCCAACGCCGTTCCGAGCCCGCACGGACCAGAAAAAGCATGCGTCTGCGTATGTGTGCTGTATGTGTTCTTCGCTTCGAGGGCCGAGCCCAGGAGCATGCCCCCAGCTGGGCACCCGGCGTATATGCCCTTGAGGTGGTGGCGGCTGATGTCGATGCCATACCTGGCACAGGGCCGCGGCGAGGTCAGCTCAGGGAGAGGACGGGGAGAGGCATGGTGGGATGCACACCGACCAGGGGGGCAACGGAGCAGGGTCTTCCTTCTCCCTCCTCCCTCCCTCCTCCTCCCTCCCTCCTCCTCGCTTCTCCACCTCCTGCCTCACCCCCTCCCTCCGCAAGAGGGAGGGGCGGGGGGAGTGAGAGGAACAGTGGGACTGGAGGAAAAGGGCAATGGGGGGAGCCCCGCGCGCGTAGCGCGTGGGAACGCACGCGCAGTGGGATGGGGGGGGGAGGGACGCGGGAAGGTGGAATCGGAGCCAGAACCAAAGCGCTCTTGTTCAAGCAGTCACTCCGGCCCGTGGCCAGTAAAGTGGGCGAGGCCACGGCCTCGCGACAAACAGCCGGCGGAGGGTGGACGGAGGGAAGGACGAGGCGAGCGTGGATTGGAAGCGAGAGCGGGGTGGAGGAGGAGGAGGAGGAGGAGGAGGAGGAGGAGGAGGACACGCACTCAGCCCCTGAGCGGTCTTGCTGCCAACGCCAGCGCGCTCTACCAGGCGGCGCGCCCGTGGCACGCTGGGCGGCGCATGCGGGACGGGTCCGCCCTGCCGACGGCCCGCACGACCACCGCGTGCACCTGGGCTTCCACGGGAAAGCGGGCGCCCGCCCCGCCCGCCCGCCCCGCGGGCCGTGGTCGGGCTTTTCAAGCCCTCTTTGCAGGGCCACGCCCTCACAAGCTCAGCCCCCGATCCTCGATGCTCTTCGAAGTCCCCCCGAGCCGGTGCCCCCGGCCTCCTCCACCCGCCGATGTCGTCCGAGCCCCCTCGAGCCTCGGGCCCCTTGGGCGACCCCCCGAGCCAGTGCCCCTTCCCTGTCGCCCCCGTTCCCAAGGTGGGGACTCCCAGCTCGGAGTCTCCATCTTTGGGGGGGGAGCACTCCCTGGCATTGTACATGCTCAACGTCGTGCTGCTCAGCGACAGTGTGCGTGAGGTGCTGCTGGAAGGCACAATTCTGGTGCATGCTAAACGTCGTGCTGCACGAGGACGTAATGCATGAAGTACTGCGCGAAGGCGAAATTCTCCATGAACCAACTCGACGTGGTGCTAACCAACGACGCGCTGCAACTGACCCCAAATGACGCACTGCTAGGAGTCGGGTCTGGACTCTGCGCGCAGTGCGCGCAGTGCGCGACGTAATGCTGCTCACCGACTTCTGGCATGAAAACAATGAACACGGTCGGATCGCATAACAAAAACACTCTATGTTTCGTCAGGGTGACCTGTGGCTTGAGTTCGGCGTCGAAGATTGTGACAGTCTCCAAGAAATTGCAAATTGCAGGACACCCTGGATTTCTTGGGCGTCCGTGCGTTTCGGAGCGCGCGCCCTCACTCTATTTGCCACTCTTGCTGCCAGACAATTCGCGATGCCGTCACCAGGCAGCGCGCGTGCGGATTGCCTCTGCCGGGCTGCGAAAAAAGTGCTCGCGGGGCCTCATAGGAGCCCTGGCGCGTTCAGGGCGTGCGCCCGACAGCCCAAGAAGTTGGAAAGGCATGCAGGGCACCTGGGACTCCTTCGCCCGCCACTCCGTCTGTTCCCCCCGCGCAGCACACGCGCGCTCGCGGGGCCTCATCAGTCTGGAAAGGGGGACCTGGCGCATTCGGGTCGCGCGCCCGAGAGACCGAGAAACTGACAGGCGTGCAGGGTACGCTGGGCTTCTTTGCCCCCCCTCTGCGGGCCTTCGGTTTCTTCGTCCACCCAGCCAACGTCAGGTGGGCGCAATTTTTGGGAGCGGGGAGGCCCGAAGCTTGCAAGGCCCGAAGCTTGCAAGCCCTCAAGCTTAAATTCTGTTTGTGCCAAGCCCAAAACTTGCATATCCGATCGCCTTGGGCTTCTTGGGGTCTATTTGCTCTACGCAAGCAGTCTAGAAATCGTTCGGGTCCGGGTGCCCTGGGTTTCTTCGCTTGTAGCCGAAACAAAAACGGATTTCAAGGTTAGGTTTCTTGCCGTGGGGTTCTTGTGGATCCAACTTGCTGTAGACGTGCTTCTGGCAAAATGTTGCTCAACGTCGTGCTGGTCAACGACGCGCCGCACACCCATGTAGACGTGCTGCAAGAGCCGTACAGGCTGATACCGGACGGCTCAGAGCCAGATTGCATCATGGCGAACCGACGGGCGATGTACTGGTCAACGTCGTGCTTCTCACCGACGTGTTGCGAACTCTGCCGTGGCTATACCAGTGACTCCGGGGAGCTGCTGAAGGTCGTACTGCTCAACGTCGCACTGCACCGAGTCGTGTTACTCAAACATCTGGTAGAGGTAGGTGGCTTCCTGCTTCACTAGTCGGATATCCTGTCCAGACTGGGCGCGGAGGGCCTTAATCCCTGGCCAGAAAGCTGTCGAGCTTGAAACTGTGTATTGCACGAAGTTGGAGTCGCCAGTGTCTGCCAGAGGCCATTGCACACACAGCGACAAGCTGCCCCAGCTCAAGACAAGCTGGGAGCTCAGGCACCTGACTCAGCCACCTCGAGCCGATGGGAACGGATGCTCGCATCCCAGATGATGCCCGAGGGGGGGGCGTGGGGCTTGAACCACAAAGGCGACTGGGAGAGGGAGGAGGGAGGCTGGGAGTGAGGGAGATGAGGAGGACAAGGACCCTCCTCCTTCTCCTCCTCCTCCTCCTCATCATCATCATCACCACCACCATCATCATCATCAGCATCATCATCAGCATCATCATCATCATCGTCATCATCAGCATCGTCATAATCATCATCATCAGAATCATCATCATCAGTGTCATCATCATCAGCATCATCATCAGCATCATCACGACCATCACCATCATCATCACCACCACCATCATCACCAGCATCAGCATCATCAGCATCATCATCCTTATCCTCATCCTCATCTTCATCCTCTTCCCCATCCTCCCCTTTCTCCTCCTCCTCCTCCTCCTCCTCCTCCTCCTCCTCCTCATCCTGCTCCTCCTCCTCCTCCTCCTTCTCCTCCTTCTCCTCCACCTCCTCCTCCTCATGGCGCTCCCTCCTTTTCCTCCTCCTCCTCCTCATCATCATCCTCCTGCAACCTGTTTTCCTCGGTTCGTTCACGGAGTGGGAGCACAGGCAAGTGTGAACTCCCCTCTGATTTGCACACGTTGCCAAACGAGAGAACTGCCGAGCCTAACATATGTAGACACCATGAGTTTTCATGCGTCATACTCACGCATGCTGTCAAGTAGCACTGGGAGAGAATTGAGTTGCAACAAAATCTGGATGTTATGGCGCACCAAGAACTGGCGTTGCGAGAATTTCTGGGTATTGCCGTGGGCCCGCCTGGAGCCAGCAATACTGCGAATCCGGTGTATGACCTACCTACCGCCGAAAGTTGGCATTGCGGGTCGACACTTGCGAACTCCCTCTGCTACACTCGCCAAATGGCCACACAGGTTGCGCATGCGAATGCACGCCAAACGAACGCCGTCTCAAACACTCTGGGCGCTGCCCAGCCCAGAGGTACATAGACGAGGACGCGGTAGCGGCAGGCCACGTTTTAACGGCAGCTGGCGATGACGACCAACGCCGCCATCAAACATGGGATACTGAATGGGATTTGGAGGACCTACGCCGCATATCGCCGTCAGCATCATTACCATCATCACCATCATCATCACCACCACCATCATCATTCTCAGCATCACCCCACCTCCCTCATGACTTCTCCATCCTCCATACCCCCTCTCCCCGTCCCCTTCCCCCCCCACCCACTCCTCCCCCTTCCCACCCCCAGCGCTCTGCGCTCGCTGGAGAAGGCACCATCTGACAGGACCGCTTGAGGAAGGAGGGAGCGAGGGAGGGGGTGGAGAAAGGAGGAGGAGCAGAAGGAAGAGGCGGAGGACAAGGACGAGGAGGCGGCGGGACGACGATGGCCTGGTCGGTTACTAATTACCCGGCGTGGCACTACGTCCGTTCTTGACCTCATTTCCTGGCCTTTGTCTGCACCGACCTGTGACGGTCAGTTGCCGCCAAAGTGACCCGAGTCGGCTCGCATCCTCTCTTTCCCGCGCAAGAGCGCTCTACGAGCAGTGCTCCTGCAGCCTGCCCAGCGTCAAAAAAGGGGCGACGATGACGACGACGACCAGCAGCAGCAACAGCCAGCCAAGGAGGGGGGGGGGGCGCCTGAAGTACGGGATCATCCCCCCGCGGCCCGCCCCCGCCGACGGGGCGCGGGCCCCGGGCCGGCGCCGGCGGGCCCCACGGGCTGGGGGGGACCTACCGCCTGAGACATGTGGCTGCGGTCGTCGTCGCCGTCGCTGTCGCTGCCGCCACCGCCGCCCTCCTTCTGCTAGGTGTTGCCCCTGGCCCTCCTCGAGGAACGAGGAGGGATTTCGGAGCAAAATGCACCATCCTTACCCTGCTCTTCCATCCCCTCCTTATAAGTCCGCCACCGTGCCGCTGGGCACGGAGAATGTGCTTCCTCATGTCAGTTGCCCAATCCCTTACGCCGCACTCCTGATGAGTTTTTGCAAGGGGCTCGACCCCAAGCTTCCAAATCTCTCGGGGCTTGCCGGGTGTCCCCTGGAGCTTCTCGCGGCTTTTCGCGTGACTGTTTCAGCTTCTCGCCCCTGCTCCTCCATTCCTTCCTTAGAAATCACGCCTCATCATGAGAATATACGAGAATTCGCAGGAAATTCACGGATGGAGAGCAGGGCGGGCACGGCAGACCAGACCAGCGCGACAGAGAAGACCAGCACGGCCGGCCAACACGGACGGCAGACCTGGCCAGCATGCCAGACCGAGTCAGCATTGCAGGCCAACACGGCAGACCACAAGGGGCAGACCACACGCGGCGTGCGACCAGCACGGCGGATCGGCTGCGCCGTGCTGGCCTGGTCTGCCACGTCAGTCCGGTTTGCCATGCTGGTCTGCCGTGCAAATCTGCGCTGCTGGCGTGCCGCGATTGTCTCGCCACCGTGCGGTCTGGTCTGCCATGCTGATCGTGCCGTGCTGGTCTCCCGTGTTGATCTGCTTCTCTGGTTCCTCGTGCTGGTCTGCCGTGCTGGCCTGCCGCGCCGGTCTGTTTTGCTTGTCTGCCGGACTGGTCTGGTCTGCCGTGCTGGTCCGGTCTACCGTATGCTGGTCTACCGTGCTGGTCTGCCGTGATGGTCTACCGCGCTGGCCTGGGAGCCTCTTATCTTGGCCACTGGGGGGCCTCTGGGGCGCCTCAAGGAGACCTCTTGCAGGCCTCCTCGTGGAGGCCCCCCGTAGCCTCTTGGGGCACCCTCGGGGGCCTCTCGGGGGCCTCCTCTGGGCCTCCTTCCTGCGGGCCGCTCGGGGTCCTCTCGGGGCCTCTTGAGCACAGATGAGCGCCACGGTCGGGTCGGGCGAAAGGGGGGGTTAGCAAAGGGGGGGCTTGAGAATCAGCTCACGTAGCTGATTTTCCCGGCGCCTCCCGGCGCCGGGAGGCGCCCATGTATCGAGGAATGGGCCCCTCGGCGGGGCCGAAACCAGCTGCATGCAGCAGATTTCGTAACCCCCCCTTTCCCAAGCCCCCCCTTTCGTCCGGCCCGACACGGGCGAGGTCCCTTGTTGGCCCGCCTGTGCTGGATTCTCCGCACCATGGAGGCGCCCGGGGGCCCTCACGGGCCCGTGCCGGGAGCGTCTTGCGGGCCCCCGGGGCCCGTCTCGGCCTCCTCTGGCGCCCCTCCAGCCCCATGTCGGGAGTCCTGGGCGCTGCGAAGAACAGAAGCCGCACATGCTGAAGGCTCGCGCGTTCCGAAGCGAGTTTACGAGCTTCGCCTCCTGAGGCTGTCTTGAATTTCCTCTTGAAGCCCTCTCGAGGCGTCTCTGGGGCCTCTGGGGCTGTCTTGGAGCCACCTGGGCGTCTTGGAGCGGTCTCGAGCCATCTTGGAGGCCTCTCGGAACCTCCTGGAGGCCGCTCGGAGGCCATCCGAGAGCGCGGGCACGGCACGGGCACCCCCGGCACCCCCGTCCCGTGCTCGAGTGCTGACTGGAGGAGCTCCCCAGCCCTGTCGGTGGAGGTCCCCCCCGTGGCACTGGGCGGGAGGGGCCGCGAGGAGTCAGAGCGTCCAAGAAGGCCACAGCGAAAGGCAGACATCACGGATGTGTTCCTTGCACTAGGAGCTCGACCACAAGAATCCGCCCACAAGAAACCCAACCCTGAGACCCCAGGACGTCCATTGATTTTTGGTATGGGAACGTCACGCGTTCCATGGCAAAACCATCGAAACCCAAGAAACCCAGGGCACCCTGGAGGCAAGCAGAGTGTTTCGTTGCATGGGATTCCACTGTAGATTGTTGGCCAAAGTTTGCCTCCTGGGGGCGGGCCTTTGCAGGGACCCCCCAGTCTTTGATCGACAGCCGAGCCCCCCAGATAGACCGAATGCGGCCCGAAAAGCCGTCAAGAGAACCCCCAGAGGCCCCCAAGAGGGCCTCAAAGCTCCGAGAAGCCCCCAAGAAACACCCCAAATGCTCCAAGAGGCACCCCAAGAGCCCGCAAGAAGGAGCCCCCAAGACTCCTCCTCCTCCCCCTCCTCCCCCTCCTTCTCCTCCTCCTCCTCCTCCTCCCCGTCCTCGTCTTCGTCCTCGTCGTCCTCTTCCTCCTCCTCAACCTCCTCCTCCTCCTCCTCCTCCTCCTCCTCCACCTTCTCCTCGACGGCACCGAGGCATGAAAGGCGCAGGGAGGCACTGAGTCAAAAAGAGGAGGAAGAGGAGGAAGCCCCGCCCCCCCTCTTCAGGTGACCATCCGTCTCTCATGCTTCTCTCTCTCTCTCTCTCTCTTTCTCTTTTTCTTCACCTCTTGCTTGTTCTTCCGCCCCTCCCCCCAGCGATGCTGGGTGGAGGGGCGCCGAGGGTTTCGACCGTATCGGTGACACAGTCCGCAACTTCGAGCTTCGAGGAGGGGGAAGAGAAGGGGAACAAATGGATACTGCGAGAGCTGGTCAGGTGCCGCGCACATCCTGGCGAAAGGTACCGCCCTCCACGTTTATGCGCTCTCCTCCTCCTCCCTTCCTCCCTCCCTCCCTCCATCCCTCCCTCTCTTAGGGCGAAGAGGGGGAGGGAAGAGCGAGGAGCGAGAAAGCGAGGGGTAGGAGAAGGGGTCAGGAGGGTATCAATTGAGTTCGGATGGGGTAAAAGGGGGATCAAACGGTCTTGGGAGGCCCTACCTGCGGAGACTGTGAGGTTCTACATGCGCAAGGGCAACTAAACAGGTTCTACTGAGTTCTGGGAGGTATTTTGGGTTTTTTCGGGGGGCAGGGGGGACTCTTGGAGGTTGTGGGAAGGGACATCCCAATACCCTCCCTCCTCAAGGTCTAAATACCATTGCAGCGGAGATCCTGGTATCTCTAGCTCCGAGAACCTACGCCGCTCTCATGGAAGCCAATGGACAAAGCTCATCAGCAATGCTGAGACGGTGCGCCGAAATCAATACTAAAACGACGGTGAAGTGTTGCAAGGAACCCCGAGACATGGTGTCGGTCAGGTTTCACGCCGCCCAACGGCACATCACATCCACCTCCCCTTGTCCCGCCCGCTGCTGTGGTCCTCTTCCTCCAGCCTGCTGCTGCAGTTCCTCCTGGTCCTCCTCCATTCCTCTCACCTCGTCCCACTCGTCTTCTCCTCCCCCCCTCAGGCTCCCATTCATCCTTCTCCTCCTCGCCACCCCAGTGCGACCTGGATGACGACCGAGAGGGCGCGAAGCGGCGACGAGCCCGCTCAAAGGCCTGACCGCGTCGTGCGTTTTCGGGCCGCCAGCTCGACTCTCGCTATCCAGCAAGACCGGCGCAGCAGAAAGGGGGCAATCGAACGAAAGCGACGGGAGAAGACAACCGGGAAGGCCCTCCACGGCGGACGGGGCAAACCGTCCACTCATACACAGGCCCGACCCACACTGCCGTCAAAACCAGCGTTTTAAGGGTGAGCACTTGAAGAGCAAGCGTCGTCAATACTGAAGGGGAACTGGGACGCACAAGTAAATACACACAAACAAAAAGGATTCCCCAGATTTCCCCATATTTTCTGGGTTTTTGTCTTCCCCCCACTTCCCATATGTTCCCACATATTTTCCTGGGGGTCGACGATTACTTGTGTCTGTGTGTTTTTTTCCCTCCTGAAACACATTCAATCCTGATTCGCTGACTTTGACCCGATCCTGGGCCAGGGATCGGCGTAGTGCTGCCCCTTCCTTGCCTGGACCGCAGGGCGCACCAGCCGATCCTGGCCCAGGCATCGGCCCGACCATTTTGCGGCGAGCGCGGGAAGGAAATGAGAAGAGGCGGGCCTAATCAGAAGGCTCGGAAGTCCCCCAGCCGTTTGGGAATGTGTCTCGATCTTCCCCGAAGACGAAAAAACACTTCCCAGAGGGCGCGAGGGATTCTGAAAAGTCAAACCGCCTACTGAGAAGGGCCTGCTCCCTCTCACTTCCCCCCCTCACTCGCCGCCGGATTTGTGCAACTGGGTGGACCCGGCTGCGCCGAACAGGGGTGGCAGGGAGAGGAGGGGCGCGCAGCATTGGCCGAGGCACTCGCGCGGGCGAGCGGGGCCAGGGAGTGCGTTGAAAGAATAAGGTGGGGGGGGGGGGAATTTGGGAGATACGTAGCACCCTGCATGTGAGGTTAAGAGCGAAGGGCGGGCGAGGGGTGTGTTGCGGGTGGGTCGCGGGTGGGTCGCGGGGAGGTCGCGGGGGGGTCGCGGGCGAGGACGACACGACGACAGCACCCATTGTAGGACCCATGTTAACACCCAACTTGCGCCATGGCTTGCGCCAGCCATTCCAGCGAAGGTTTCGCCATGGGTCGCGCCATAAACAGCGCCACGTAACACCTCTGGTGCTGCTTGGCAAGGTGTCGGAGGCGAACGTGGTGCCCGATGCCATCTCCTAGAGCGCAGCAGGGCCAAGGTGGGAGAGGAACCAGCAGGGGCCGCGGGTTTCGTTGCTGCTGCGCGACATGAGTGACATGCGGCATTCACGGCGAGCGGGGAAACCGCATAGTGGTAGCTGGCACTGGCGCTGCTCAGCGAAGTGGGAGGCGAAACAAGCAATCAGAGGCAGCGAGCTCTGGCGCTTGTCTGCGGGATGCGGCAATCGGCATTGGGACCCCGTTGCGTTAGCTATAACGCGGTGGTCGCCGCGTGCAGGATCACGACCTATGGCAGTGGACAGCGTCGTTGCCCAGCGGCCCCGTGGGAGGTGAACTGGGAGCACGATCTCATCAGTCACACCGAGGGGATTCGAACGTGCGCGAATCTTATGAGCTATCTACAGAAACTAACGGAGCGCCATTACCACAGCGCCAGGATCTGCGTGCGCGAGAAGGGCAAGCCGCAGCAGGCACCGGCGATGCTGCTCAGCGTGAAATGGGAGGCGACGCTCAAGGAGGCATGGGAGGTGAACTGGATCCCGCCGTCTCCAACCACAACGTTGGGGTCAGAGGTCCAGAACCGTTCGGGAACACATGGGAGACGAGACCCAAACCAAACGTCGCCAGGTGCAACGCTGGTACGGCGCGCGCGCGGCAGGCTGGCTGTCCCAATGGGCTCTGGGGCTGCCCAGCGGGATGTTGAAGGCGAACTTGGAACCCGATGGGAAGCGTGG